CCCCTCCCCCACCGCACCGCGGTAAGTCGGGAGCCGGGGCCGTGGCGGCCCGGGGCCGACAGGCTCCTCCTCCCCTCTGGGCGGGCGGTGCGCGGGGCGTCCCAGGCCCTCCGCGCCGAAGTCTCGCGCCCCGGCGCGCACCTTCTGCCCTGACGGAGGGGGCGGAGCCCTGCGGCCCTGAGGCCCGGCTCCTTGGAAGCTGGAGGGAATTGCTATCCGTGGGGATTGGGGTCGGGGTGAAGGGTCTCATGTCGCAGCCTACGCTCAGGAAGCGTCCATCTACCCGGTTGTACTCATTCATTTGCCCGGCCGTGATTAGGTGGGCTGGTCCTTTGCGATGGCAGCGCCTTAAAATCCTTAATGGGTTCCCAGTACTTCCTTGACTGTCGTGTGGGATGGGCTTTATTTGCTTTGGCCTCTCCTACAGGGGAAATTCGCTGTCCCGGGGTTAGGGTGGATGATGGGTCGGGAGTTTGTTAGCTTTTTAAGACATATCCGAGAATTAAGGTCGGTTTAGTGGAGTAAAAGATTATTTTCTGGTCTCCCACGTGTTCCATGTAAAGCTAGAAGAGGGGAATGATGGGGTTTCTGGATAGCCATAAGGATTTCGGAAATTAAGCTAATCTTCCTACCCTACATCACGTGCAAGTTTTATAGTTGGAGAAACCGAGGCCCAGAGAGGGGACAGAATTAGCCAATGCCAGATCTGACTCAGTCTGGAAATCTGTGTGCTACATCACCCTTTCTGGGTGTTCCAGCCTTCCATTATTGAGAATTCCCTTTGTAAAGAGGCCAGGAGTATTCGGTAGTTGGAAGCAGATATATTCTTCAATAGCGTTGCGTACTTAGTTACTACCAGCTCTGTTCGGCAGACAGACGCTTGATTAGTGGTACCCTTATCTAGACCATGAAAACTTGAAAGTTGGTTAAAGAATGTCAGTAATGTTATATATTGGAAAACAAATGGGTAAAACTAAAAGTCCTTGGCTAGCTTCCTGTTGCAAATGTAAGATTTTTTATTTGTGTCAACTGCTAGGGACTCAGAAGAAAGTCCAGTTAGTGGCCCACGGCAGTACTGAACAGAAAGCAGGAAATACAAACGAAACTTAGAAAGGTAGGCAGCAGTCATTTGTATTTCTTGTACTTTGGAACTCATGATTTCTCTCTGGTACACAATTCAAAGTTTTGTAATAGAAGAAGATGAGAAAATTAAACTATTTTGAAAGAAGAAACTAGAGGAAAGAACAGTAAGAATTCCCTGTTACAGTCTTAAAAATTCAGAAAGAAGCACTTGTTAACTGGGTGACAGATGGTATATTTATTTGGTGGAAGAAGTCAGGCTATTTTAAAAACAACCAAAAGTTGGACAAGATGGAGGTACTGGGAAATATTTTGATGGAATTATTTTTTGACTCTTCATTAAGGTTTGATGAAATTGAATTAGTTGCCTCTTTGATGTGTTTATATCAGTCAGAGGTCACTTTGCTCTTGTTTAGATGACAAAGCAAAAACTGAAAAATAGTGTACAAGAACAGAAGAGAACTGTGGTCTAAATACGAAGACATGAACAGGGTATATTTTCTGTGACATTTAATCAGTTCAGGCATCACTTTCTGAAAAGCCTTTCTTGGCATTCTCTCCCCTGCAAACTTTCATAACACTTATTTGATACTTCTATTTATAGCACAAATCACTTTGTGTTTTAACTGTTTGTCTTTTTGTTAGACTGTGGTAAAATATTTTTGTCTTTCTGTTCAGGTTGTTTGGCACATCATAGGCCCTCAGTAAATGTGTTTGCTTGAATGAATAAACAAATATGGAGGAGTTAAAAATAATCTATAAGGTGACTGAGTATTTGTGTGCTCCTGAAATATGGGGCCCAGATAAGAGGACCTATACCATTCATAAGTTACGTGGTAATTTGATAACTGACTATTCATGTTCACTAGCTCTTACATAGCTAAGAACAAGTAGAACTTTTAGGGAGCCAATTTCACAGCTTATTAAAAAAAATGGATTATTTTATTGTGATATTTTTTATGGTGGCAGTTAACCTAGGAAGTAAGGGATAGTAGTATTGATGTTTAATTTCCAATACATAGCACATCTGTAATTATGAAATCTGTTGCAGGTTAGAGTATTTAGAGATTTAACGATAGGTATTAGAGGCAGAGTATGTAAACACCATTTCTTGAGAATTTGGTGCATTCTTTGTATGTGGAATTGAACCTCAGTACCATAAGCCCTCATTTAGCATCATTAATAAGTTCTTGGAAGTACTGCGAAACAACATGAGGAAACCAATTTTATGACAGGCTAATTGATATAAATGAGTTCCTATGGCATCTCATCATAATAACAAAACCACGTTGAGCGAAATGACATTGGAGGACCTGCTGTATTTGACATAGTACGTCTCTAGAGCTAGGTTTCTCAGCCTGGGCACTATTGACATTTTGGCCTAGGTAATTCTTCATTGTCGGGGAGCCGTCTTGTTTATTGTTGGATGTTCAGCAACATTCCTGGCCTCTACCTATTAGAGATTCGTGTAATACCCCCGTCCCCAAGTTGTAACAATCCAAAATGTCTCTAGACATTGTCATATGTCTTCTGGGCAAAATTGTCCCTGATCGAGATCACTTCTCTAGAGAAAACATTCCCAATATTTTAGTAAAATCATACTTTTATGTTGCCAGATGTATGCTTTTAAAGTTAGCTAATAAGTTGCATTGTGTTAAAATTGTCCTTGAAAAACCTTTATATTGGTGAACCTCTGGTGTTGTGAAGCTGAAAAGAGTAAGAGTCCTAGACTCATTTTCTCTAGTTTCTTGTTTCATTTCTGTGGTAGCCTCCCATTCTCTAGTATAAGAAAAATCAAGTTCTTATTTGAAAAGGGATAGACCGTTGGGTAAATAAAGCAAAAGAGCTTGTAGTTGACCCAATGTAATTGAAAGTGTGATGCTGTGTGGTTCCGTTATCTTTTCATTTCACTGATACACTTGATGCCACATAAATATGCACGGATGGGAGGTTTTGACCCACTGTACTGACACTGAGAATTTAATAAATACTGAGAATTATTTGCCATATTGGAGAACTTGTACTTAATTCAGCGTGATGTGGAACAATTGGAAATTTTCAGTAGAGGACTACAAATTATTTCTTTAAAATACAGCTCTAATTAGCTAGGCCTGATACTAAGAGTGAGTTTACGCTGGGAGTAGTAGTAGGGTAGGTTGGAAGATGGGAAACTGGAGTCAGGCAAATTAATTAGAAGGAGCCTATAGCAATAGTCCAGGATAGCTGTTCTCAAAGTGTGAGGTCTCTAGACTCCTTTATGCTTTTAAAAATTGTTGAAGACTTGAAACAGTTTTTATTTACGTAGGTTATACCTACTGGTATTTACTGTGCAGAAATTAAAATAATTTCATTTTAAAACAGATTTTAAGAGATTTTGAAAGTTAATCTGCTAACCATTTTATGAAAAATTTAATAAGTTAATGACAAGGGCAGCGTTGTCTTCCTTTTTTGCAGATCTCTTTAAAAGTCTGACTTAACAGAAGACCACTGGATTTGCAGATCTTTTGCATTCAGATGGTTAATGTGTTGTTTTGGTTGAAGTATGTGAACAAAATCCAGCCTCATACAGATATGTAGTTGGAAAGGGAAGGTTGATTTATTTGTTTTTTACAGTTTGGATATCTTTAATAATCAAACGGATTTTTTTAATAGCCTTTTCAAATAATTGTAGATATTTATTGACATTCCACTCAAACTTTTTTAAAGGTTTGTTGCAATGTGGAATCTGAAACTATATCATTGAACTTTAGGTACTCTGTATATTAAAATTCATTTGTCCATGCACTTTGGGTATTTATTCACGCATGATTTTATGACATCATACGTTGGTCATTTAGAAATTATTGGTTCACTAAGTTATACAACTCTTCCAAATGTTAACAAATTTAATTGTACAGTTGTTAATATTTCTTCCACTCATCTCATTAGATGAGTCTGTTTAAGAGTTGGGAAGCTGACAAGCTCATTGTGGTGGACACAAGCTTTCAAAATTCTAATTTTCACTTTAAATCTGAATAACCATAGTTTGTCATTTATTCTTTGAAATAAAAATGGTGTTCCATGAAAAAAATATGCTGGTTCAGCTTTCTAATCAAAAAGTAACCACACAAATGTTTTACCTTGAGATAACCCTTGTATTTCAATAGGCACACTTGCTTTTGAGTACTTTCCATTTTATTCCAAAGAATAATCAGAATATTAAAAAGATGTGTACTGAAATTTTGAGAAGTGATACAATCAATACTTTTTAGTGCTTCATCAAGGACATTCAAGTCAAAGATGTTTTTGTACTATAAGTGGGTGGCAGTAAAGAATTCAGTGACTGTTAGTACAGTTTGGGGTCATTGTCCTTATTCGTGCTCAGGTTATAGCAGTTTTATATACCATTGATTTTTGCACCTCAATGCAGAGGTCAGCACAGTAAAATAAAGCAAATAATGTCTAATACTTACTATGAAAATAGTTTTGACTTCATAGACTCCTTCAAAAGAGGTCTTGGGTATTTTTACTTTTTTTTATTTTTATTTATTATTATTATTTTTTTAAGCCTATAGCACCCAGTATTCCTTGGTGGTCTCCCATCCAAGTACTAACCAGGCCCAACCCTGCTTAGCTTCTGAGATTAGACGGGATCCGGCGTGTTCAGGGTGGCATGGCTGTAGACTTGGGTACTTTTAGAGAACTTTGAACCACACTTTGAGAACCACTGATCTAGGACAATGATTTTTCACACTAGAGCATATAGCCCCTAAGCTTCTTTGAAAAGTCTCCACTGTACCTACCCCTCTTTACTTCAGCCAAGGTAGCCTCTGCCGATGTCTTTTTTATATATGGGGTTCCATAGCTAAAAATATTTGAAAACCA